GATGAGATACAGGCGAAAATGTATTTAATTTAATACATTTGATTCACGCTGTCCCCCCTACGGTGGTACAAATTCCGAAATATTTTTTTTCGAGTTCTTGGAGTATAACTAGATATTTGTGTGGCAGAATCATCAACGAACAGGAAGTTTCAGATGAGAAACAGACGAAAATGTATTTATTTTAATACATTTAATTCACCCTGTCCCCCCTACGGTGGTACAAATCCCGAAATATTTTTTTTCGAGTTCTTGGAGTATAACTAGATATTTGTGTGGCAGAATCATCAACGAACAGGAAGTTTCAGATGAGATACAGACGAAAATGTATTTATTTTAATAAATTTAATTCACCCTGTCCCCCCTACGGTGGTACAAATTCCGAAATATTTTTTTTCGAGTTCTTGGAGTATAACTAGATATTTGTGTGGCAGAATCATCAACGAACAGGAAGTTTCAGGTGAGATACAGACGAAAATGTATTTAATTTAATGAATTTAATTCACCCTGTCCCCCCTACGGTGGTACAAATTCCGAAATATTTTTTTTCGAGTTCTTGGAGTATAACTAGATATTTGTGTGGCAGAATCATCAACGAACAGGAAGTTTCAGATGAGAAACAGACGAAAATGTATTTATTTTAATACATTTAATTCACCCTGTCCCCCCTACGGTGGTACAAATTCCGAAATATTTTTTTTCGAGTTCTTGGAGTATAACTAGATATTTGTGTAGCAGAATCATCAACGAACAGGAAGTTTCAGATGAGATACAGACGAAAATGTATTTATTTTAATAAATTTAATTCACCCTGTCCCCCCTACGGTGATACAAATTCCGAAATATTTTTTTTCGAGTTCTTGGAGTATAACTAGATATTTGTGTGGCAGAATCATCAACGAACAGGAAGTTTCAGATGAGATACAGACGAAAATGTATTTATTTTAATACATTTAATTCACCCTGTCCCCCCTACGGTGGTACAAATTCCGAAATATTTTTTTTCGAGTTCTTGGAGTATAACTAGATATTTGTGTAGCAGAATCATCAACGAACAGGAAGTTTCAGATGAGATACAGACGAAAATGTATTTATTTTAATAAATTTAATTCACCCTGTCCCCCCTACGGTGGTACAAATTCCGAAATATTTTTTTTCGAGTTCTTGGAGTATAACTAGATATTTGTGTGGCAGAATCATCAACGAACAGGAAGTTTCAGATGAGAAACAGACGAAAATGTATTTATTTTAATACATTTAATTCACCCTGTCCCCCCTACGGTGGTACAAATCCCGAAATATTATTTTTCGAGTTCTTGGAGTATAACTAGATATTTGTGTGGCAGAATCATCAACGAACAGGAAGTTTCAGATGAGATACAGACGAAAATGTATTTATTTTAATAAATTTAATTCACCCTGTCCCCCCTACGGTGGTACAAATTCCGAAATATTTTTTTTCGAGTTCTTGGAGTATAACTAGATATTTGTGTGGCAGAATCATCAACGAACAGGAAGTTTCAGGTGAGATACAGACGAAAATGTATTTAATTTAATGAATTTAATTCACCCTGTCCCCCCTACGGTGGTACAAATTCCGAAATATTTTTTTTCGAGTTCTTGGAGTATAACTAGATATTTGTGTGGCAGAATCATCAACGAACAGGAAGTTTCAGATGAGAAACAGACGAAAATGTATTTATTTTAATACATTTAATTCACCCTGTCCCCCCTACGGTGGTACAAATTCCGAAATATTTTTTTTCGAGTTCTTGAAGTATAACTAGATATTTGTGTAGCAGAATCATCAACGAACAGGAAGTTTCAGATGAGATACAGACGAAAATGTATTTATTTTAATAAATTTAATTCACCCTGTCCCCCCTACGGTGGTACAAATTCCGAAATATTTTTTTTCGAGTTCTTGGAGTATAACTAGATATTTGTGTGGCAGAATCATCAACGAACAGGAAGTTTCAGATGAGATACAGACGAAAATGTATTTATTTTAATACATTTAATTCACCCTGTCCCCCCTACGGTGGTACAAATTCCGAAATATTTTTTTTCGAGTTCTTGGAGTATAACTAGATATTTGTGTAGCAGAATCATCAACGAACAGGAAGTTTCAGATGAGATACAGACGAAAATGTATTTATTTTAATAAATTTAATTCACCCTGACCCCCCTACGGTGGTACAAATTCCGAAATATTTTTTTTCGAGTTCTTGGAGTATAACTAGATATTTGTGTGGCAGAATCATCAACGAACAGGAAGTTTCAGATGAGAAACAGACGAAAATGTATTTATTTTAATACATTTAATTCACCCTGTCCCCCCTACGGTGGTACAAATCCCGAAATATTTTTTTTCGAGTTCTTGGAGTATAACTAGATATTTGTGTGGCAGAATCATCAACGAACAGGAAGTTTCAGATGAGATACAGACGAAAATGTATTTATTTTAATAAATTTAATTCACCCTGTCCCCCCTACGGTGGTACAAATTCCGAAATATTTTTTTTCGAGTTCTTGGAGTATAACTAGATATTTGTGTGGCAGAATCATCAACGAACAGGAAGTTTCAGGTGAGATACAGACGAAAATGTATTTAATTTAATGAATTTAATTCACCCTGTCCCCCCTACGGTGGTACAAATTCCGAAATATTTTTTTTCGAGTTCTTGAAGTATAACTAGATATTTGTGTGGCAGAATCATCAACGAACAGGAAGTTTCAGATGAGAAACAGACGAAAATGTATTTATTTTAATACATTTAATTCACCCTGTCCCCCCTACGGTGGTACAAATTCCGAAATATTTTTTTTCGAGTTTTTGAAGTATAACTAGATATTTGTGTGGCAGAATCATCAACGAACAGGAAGTTTCAGATGAGATACAGACGAAAATGTATTTATTTTAATACATTTAATTCACCCTGTCCCCCCTACGGTGGTACAAATTCCGAAATATTTTTTTTCGAGTTCTTAGAGTATAACTAGATATTTGTGTGGCAGAATCATCAACGAACAGGAAGTTTCAGATGAGATACAGACGAAAATGTATTTATTTTAATAAATTTAATTCACCCTGTCCCCCCTACGGTGGTACAAATTCCGAAATATTTTTTTTCGAGTTCTTGGAGTATAACTAGATATTTGTGTGGCAGAATCATCAACGAACAGGAAGTTTCAGATGAGATACAGGCGAAAATGTATTTATTTTAATACATTTAATTCACCCTGTCCCCCCTACGGTGGTACAAATTCCGAAATATTTTTTTTCGAGTTCTTGGAGTATAACTAGATATTTGTGTGGCAGAATCATCAACGAACAGGAAGTTTCAGATGAGAAACAGACGAAAATGTATTTATTTTAATACATTTAATTCACCCTGTCCCCCCTACGGTGGTACAAATTCCGAAATATTTTTTTTCGAGTTCTTGGAGTATAACTAGATATTTGTGTGGCAGAATCATCAACGAACAGGAAGTTTCAGATGAGAAACAGACGAAAATGTATTTATTTTAATACATTTAATTCACCCTGTCCCCCCTACGGTGGTACAAATTCCGAAATATTTTTTTTCGAGTTCTTGGAGTATAACTAGATATTTTTGTGGCAGAATCATCAACGAACAGGAAGTTTCAGATGAGATACAGACGAAAATGTATTTATTTTAATACATTTAATTCACCCTGTCCCCCCTACGGTGGTACAAATTCCGAAATATTTTTTTTCGAGTTCTTGGAGTATAACTAGATATTTGTGTGGCAGAATCATCAACGAACAGGAAGTTTCAGATGAGAAACAGACGAAAATGTATTTTTTTCTGTGACGGGAAAAAAGTTTGGCATTTCATCTCTGTTGGCAGGTTATAAAATGTCACTTTTCATAAATTACTTTTTTCCCGTGGGAAAAAAGTGAGTACTTTTTTCCCGGATATATATCACATAATATATATACTCTGTTAATGGCTTTTGTTGTGCTATAGTTCCGAAAAATGAGTCAATAATACCGTCTCCGAGAAAGAACTGCAAGTCCTTTTATCTTCCATTCGACTTCGCGGTTTCGTATATTACTAAACAACCACTGAACTCGCAATTTTTTAAAATCAAATCACAGAATTGAACTGACAGAAGTGACATCAGATATTTGATTACTTCAAAAGAATGATAAAGATGTCTATAAAACGCAGGTGTCCCTACTGTTAAAAACTTGAAATTTCACGTCGATAATTTTCAGATTTCGAAATAATGTAATATCTTCTCAATATTGATTCGTCCTTCCTTCTGTCACAGAAAAAAATAGTGTATTATACACGGGAAAAATATTAGATTTTAGCTCACGGTTTTTTGTCTCCCTCCGCTACGCGTCGGGAGACAACACAACCTGGAGCTAAAATCTACTACTTTTTTCCCTTGTATAATAAATAACTATATTTTAATACATTTAATTCACCCTGCCCCCCCCCTACGGTGGTACAAATTCCGAAATATTTTTTTTCGAGTTCTTGGAGTATAACTAGATATTTGTGTGGCAGAATCATCAACGAACAGGAAGTTTCAGATGAGATACAGACGAAAATGTATTTATTTTAATACATTTGATTCACCCTGTCCCCCCTACGGTGGTACAAATTCCGAAATATTTTTTTTCGAGTTCTTGGAGTATAACTAGATATTTGTGTGGCAGAATCATCAACGAACAGGAAGTTTCAGATGAGGTACAGGCGAAAATGTATTAAATTATATAAATTTGATTCACTGCGTGCCCCCTCTATGGTGGTTCAATTTCCGAAATATATTTTCTTCAGTTCTTGGAGTATAAATAATGAATCAATATGTAATAAAAATGAATATAAAGCACTTCCCAAGACCGTGGAAAAGCGATAAATGCCAGCCACACATTTCAATTCCATATCGCATTAGATTTCCTACACGTCAGAAAACGTGGCTGGCATTTTCGTGGATAACTTCACACTAACTTCTACAAGAGGAATATGGCTACTTTAGAAGATAAAATTCTTGGAGAGAAAACCCATAATTATTGCAGTAGCAGTGAAGACAGTGATGGCGAAAATTCGGAATCTGAAGAAACTTCATCAAAAGCAAATAAAATCACTCAAGAAACAATTTGTACTTCTGAAATAAATAAATGGGAAGGAACATCTACCAATACAGGACCAAAAGGAGTTCTAAATGATTGGCAAAAATATAAACAAATGGAGAATGAAAAGCGCGAGGATGAGGATAAGCAAAAAATTGAGTTGATAAAGAAGTTGACTCTAACAGTTAGAACAGCTCTAGATGAAGAGCGTGAAAAGGCTGCTTTAGAGGACCCTGAGCTAGCTGAATTATTAAATGATGACTTTCTCCTTAATTACCAAAAGCAGAGAATGCAAGAAATGATACAGCAGACAAATCACAAAATCACATTTGGTAAGTCAAAGTGAATCGGGATTGTGAATATACTTGAAATAAATATCTTTGTAGGTGATCTCATCATGTTGAGAAGTGACCAAGAATTTTTGGATGCCATTGACAAAGAACATGAATCAGTAAAAATAATTGTTCATATTTATGAAGAAAATGTTGAAGCCTGTGGAAGTATGAATTTGTGTCTTAACAATCTCTCTAAGATTTACAATAATGTGAAATTCTGCTCTATCCTTGGTTCTTGTGTTGGTATCAGTAAGAAATTCAAAGCTGCTGGAGTTCCAGCATTGCTTGTATATAAGGCAGGAAACCTTATTGGAGTCTGTTTACGTCTTTCTGATGATCTTGGAAATTATTTCATGCCAGAAGATGTTCAGGAATATTTGGTTGAACGTGGTTTGCTTGAAGACAAAACATGTACCCCAGCACTAATAAGGAGTACTACAATAGATTCAAGTGATAGTGAATAAATAGACAAGAGATAATTATTTTGACTGTGTTTGTTCTGCAAGAGTTCATTAGAGAACTAAACTAAAAAACTGTTAGCCCCTTACACATGGAGTATCAATGTTCTAAGTTGATATGTAATTCAGGAGAGTCCTAACCCAGTCCATGCCCATCCCTGACCAGCTTTTGGTTGGAAAAATTTACCAAATTAAAGACGCTAGTTGGTTTGCATATGCCTAGGTTACTCCCCAAGGCAGGATACAAACTGGAAGTATCAATTTTTGAATGTTTTATATGATGATCTAGGAATGCATGGCTTTGGCAAAACAATACATTGGGACCCATTAACCCTTGAATTCCCATGCCATCGAAATCAACGTAAACACCCATGCGGGGTCCTTCAGAGACCCCAGTTGAATATATGATTTCTAATTATTTTTTTTTCGAATTTATTAATTAAATAAGCGTAGGGAAGAACAAAATCATACTATAGGCATCACATGAAACTTTATTGGATATTTATGAGAATAAAATAAAAAATAGAATCTAAACAGTCTTCTCCAGAAGTATCGCTCTCATAGTCAGCTTCGGACTCAAAATCCATATTCTCGGCTATTTCCTCTATCTCACGTCGTGTAAGGGGTTGCTTCCTATGAGAATCACTCATTTTTATATCTTTGAAAAATAAAGAAGTGAAAAAATACACAGCATACTGAAGAAAAAAAAGGGGAACGTAAAAACCCGTGCGGGGTAACGGCAGGACCCCACTCACCTAAATCACGTGTAACTTCAATTCACTCGCTGCAAAATGTGGTCGCATACTGAATAATACTCACAAACGCCAAAACAAACACATACCTAGCCGCGGTGTTGCCAGAGTGTTCAAATAAACTATTGACAGTAGGATATTTGGACTTGGGGTCCTCGAAGGACCCCGCTTGGGGGTTTAAGGGTTAATCAATTTCCTGATATTTGCATGCAATTTCAAAGAGGGGAGCTGGACCTATTCCAACATCATTTGACTGGACTGGATTCACCTTCAAATAATCAGTTACCAAAGAAATGTTGTTTCACCATGGATAGTGGACTTCAAAGTATAAATGGAATAATGGTTTGCATACAATTTGTGCATTTCATACAGGGCAGTTCACCCAATTGATATCCACTAGTTATTTCTGAACTAATTTTGAAATTTTTATACCCAGAGTTTCTTTACTTTCATCAAAAAATTCACAGGCTGTTCATTGCAGTTGAACTTTGGGGTGATAGTGTTTTTTTTTACTGAAACCCTATATTTCATTTCACTATCTGGTAGAGAGGATCATTATGAATACAACTCTACACATAATGCTGAACTTTTATAGTGAGCATGCACCAAATTGTCAAATTGTGCAAGGATTATGGAGGGGACATTGAAAACATTTATGAGTATTTTTTACTTGCATCTCTACTGCAGTGCTTATTGGCTGAATCATTTGTATGTTTGATGATTGAAGTCCGGGGATTGAATCCCGGGATCACAGTATTATATTTATTTTCTTTGCTTAAACAATTCTCATAACTAAAAAATGATTTGCTGTGTCAGCTGGGTAGAGTGCAGCACATAATGATTTCAATGATGTTCTTCCACTTCCCTTTAATCAAAGGTTTGAAGGACATTCGTTTTTAGGAAGACTATTTTATTTATTATATTATGAACATTCCTGTGCGGAAGTTCCACAGTTTGGCGCATGCTGGCAATATAAGTGTAGAGCATGTAAATCTTTTCACTAGACGCCAGTCTCTACTGGGGCATTGTCAGTTACATGAAGAATAATCAAGATGGCTGGACCCCTGATTATTTTTCATGTACCAAAACTTCTAAAAAAATGCATGTATATTGTTTATTTATTTTGTAGATGTCAGCTAGTAGGTATTATAATCAGCAGTGCCATAAGGCCCCGGAAGTACTCTTAACTCGATTTCATATAAAACTCCATGACATGCAATGACCCAGACAACACAAAGTTATTCTGAGAATGTTCTTAGAATATTCCCGTGGAAGATTTCGAATATTCTCATTGTGTTATCACAAAACCCAGGCAACCAGATGACGTTCCAGTACGGGCAAGGAACTTTTTCAATATTTTATTTACCAATTTAATATTGTAAAGTTTCGGAGCATCGGCTGGGGATAGTCCTGCACAATTCGCTGTTGCGTTCCAATTAATAGTGCTGCTCCTAAAGTGGCGCATGGAGTTAGTAACAAAGCCTACACAGAACACGCAGAAAGATATGATGATGTGGTTGTGAGCATCAGAGAAGAAGTAGGACGGTGCGTAGGTGGGTGTGGAAAATTACCAGCTGAGCGTGAGAGCGGGCCAGCTGCTTAAGTAGACCTCGGTCTCGGGGGTTAACGAGGATAGTTAGCAGGCCTGCCACTGCGCATATGGTAGTGAGTACATTACTAGCCTACAAAACTCTGAAAAGAGAGCTGATGGGCGGTGCCTGAAAAGGATGTTAGCCAGCTCTCTTGAGCGAACCACATCAGTCATTGAAAACACTTGGGGTTTGCAAAAAGGTCCCATTGGGGACTAGTTGCTGACGTGGAAACGTCCCCCACCAGTACCAGTACGTCACTTGAATGACCAAGGTGACGTCAGTAGCTGACGTCGCATTGACGTGATAATGACGTGAATAAGTCACAGCCCAATGACGTCATATTACTCACGTCGTATTGACGTCATTCACTCACCAAACTGTGACGTCCGACTGACGTCAAAATGACGATTGAATTTGGCGATGATACGTAAAAAAATTCCTTTAACATGTTGTGATTAACGATGACATTATATAATATTGGTTATGCATTGTTGAGTCTGCTTGGTGGGTTCCTCCTGGTGTCCTGTTCATTCAATCGCCTATTCAGTAGCGCCATCCTTCAGTACGCATCTCCATCAGAATGCAATCAGTTACTCGTATTTGTATCAAAAATTATGTAGTTTATGTCGGCGAGATGTAAGCAAACAAAGAATAGTTTGATATCAATAGAAAGGATGTTGGCGAATTTGGCTTCACTTTGTTGAATGATGTATATTGATGCATTCTTTGTCACCCAACAAAAATCTAAATAGTAAATTATTGAAAAATTTACCAAATGACGAAGCTCACCAAATTGGTACGTCACACCGACGTGATTTTTAGACGTCATAGATACGTCACTGCAACGTCAATCATTTTTATATATACCTACATAGCTTGTAGGTTTCCGAGATATACAGTGTGTCAAAGTTTTTTAGAAAAAAGTTTTTCTACTACTTTTCGGGTATATTGATAATTAGAATAAAACTTGCATGTTGATTCGCTTTCATGAGTTATACTTCTGTTTCACATGATAATATATAAGTATCCATGGTTTAGAGAAGGTCTGGGAAAAATGGACAGGACGTCCCTGCAACGTCATGAAACTCTGACGTCTTCTTTTACCCCTTTAAGTGACGTTCACTCGACGTCGCAACGATGACGTGATTATCACGTCATAGAAAGTACGTCATAGTGACGTCATAAATTGGTGTGTGACGTCTCTGACGAAAAATCACCAATTAGGGACGTCACAGTGACGTGATCATTCGTCATCTGGTAGCCTGGGAATGCACTGAATGTTCTGAGGATATTCTAAGAACATGCAAATGGGTTGAAAATTCACGTTCCAAGAACGTTCTCATAATAATTTTCTGAACATTCTCAGAACATTATATAACTGTATTGAACATACTCAGAATGATCTAGGAATATTCTCCGTGTACAGGTTGTTCTATAGCGCACAGAAAATATTTCAGGGATCGATATAGGAGGGAAAAAACACGAAGCCCTGGAAGGAGCACCTAAAATAGAAAACAAACTTAAATTCTGAGTTAGAACTTGGAATTTTACATCCATTATCCCAAGTAATAACTCGGGTAGGGTAGGAAGAAAGTTATAATTGGAGAAAATAGCGGAAAATTTGAATTCACTAAACCCCATTGCTATCGCAGATGAGCATGAGAAGTTTTACCAGAATCAGCGAAAATTATGTAGAAGAATCAATGAAAAATCGATTGAAAAAAAATTGACTTCCTGGTGTCTCAAAAACGGATAGCACCATATGTTTATAGGAAATAAGAAATGTTCTCAGAGTATCTACATGACATATTCTATCAAAACATACCTGGAGAACATGCCTAGAATATTCAAACAATACATTCTCTGATCACACCCGAATAACATCCATAGAATATAATGAAATATTCTAGGAACGTTTCTAGGATATCTGGATGAAATGTTCTATGAATATTCTCGTAAAACAATCTATGAACATTTCAGATCATCCTCATCATATTCTATAAATGTTCTTCGGAATATTCTGAAGGAAGTATACTCTGTGAACGTTGTGAGAACATTCATAGAATATTCTGTGCTGTCTGTGAACCTACCCCTCTCCTTGTACAATCCCTCTTTATCATCCCACGGGTGTTTTTTTTTTTTTTTTTTTCGTTCAATAAAAATTTCTTGGTACCAAACCTCTCGCAAATGTTATTTAGATAACCTAACCTGTATTCGACAACCCCCGTGAAGTCATTCGATTTCATGAGAAGTTAGATTATGGGATTTCCAGATCATCTAGTTCGCTTCTGGCCCATCCCATAATACATCGTCTATGTCCGCCCCGCCCAGATGCGGCACATCTCTATGCCGCAAGCATATTATTCGTATGTAGCAGACGCGTTAGCCATCCAGGCGCAGGCGGGATCGGCTACGTCCGAACGATAGTGCGTGTGTAGCAGACGTGTTTAGTCCTGATTTGAACTTAATTGTCTGCTAAATACAATATGGATATGGCCATATAGGAACAATAACCACATCAATCATTGGTGGCGAATCTAATACGGAAAGAAAATCGAGACACATTCAAACTAGTTAGAACGGTTTAAGGGGAGTGTATAATCTCTGATTAAATGAAGAAGGCAATATTATTTCCTGAATTTATTTTCTCCCACAACATAATATTGCGTTCAACACCACATGCTTGCAAAGAATGTGACGCTTCTTTATCAGCTTTTGTGATCGATCTACCCGACGATTGTCTTTTTACTCCCATTTTCCTTCTAGCAACAGAAGTCGGTTGGATGGGAATTTTTTCCCTTTCCTTGAAATCTGCAGACGCATTTTTTTTGGCTTTGAGCCCGGGTCGCCGGTGTGGAGCTCTAAAGAATCCTCAGTATTGAATACTAAATGATACACAAAGTCGTCATCTCCACGACATTTAATGTGATTAACTCTTCTAGAATTTGAGATATCAGCACCAACTTTAATTTTTCAAATGTAGGTCATAGCTCACTATGACTTAGTTACAAATAACTTTTTTTTCTTTTACAGATGATATGTCGCAGTAATAGTTCTGTGTTGATAACAACGGAGTTATCGTCATTTATACAAAAACAAACAATTATTTGGAAGCCGTCATCTTGAATTTATAAATTTTAACAGAAAAATCATGATCTCCGACCTCAAAAACCCCCACTTACCAATTTTGAATGGAATCGGACCAAATCTTGTCCGCCATCTTGGAGCAGCCATTTTTTTTGATTTCAACAAAAATTCCGATTAACTTGAAATTTTTCAGGTGTTCATAATTTCGGTGACAATATACATTATGATATTTTTGTTGAAATTAAAAAATATGGCTGCTCCAAGATGGCGGACAAGATTTGGTCCGATTCCATTCAAAATTGGTAAGTGGGGGTTTTTGAGGTCGGAGATCATGATTTTTTTGATAAAATTTATAAATTCAAGATGGCGGCTTCCAAATAATTTTTTGTTTTTGTATAAATGACGATAACTCAGTTGTTATCAACACAAAACTATTACTGCGACATATCATCTGTAAGAGAAAAAAAAGTTATTTGTAACTAAGTCGTAGTGAGCTATGCTATGACCTACATTCGAAAAACTAAAGTTGGTGCTGATATCTCAAATTCTAGAAGAGTTGGTGTAAATTTAATATTCTTTTCGAAATCACTTTGAAAAACTGCCATATGAGAATGTGAAATTCCTATTTGAATATTTTCATAAATAAAGAAGTTATACGGAGGAGACATGAAAATGATCAAAATCTGTTTTTTGCGTATAAAACAAAAACGAATAGATTTTATCAAAATATTTTTTTACATTATAGTTGGCCTTGACGAACTCCACATTTGGTGTCATTTAACCGACCTCGTATCTCTCACCGTTAAAAAGATACCCATAATGAGCATCTTAAGTGGGACACACTGTATATTATGTCCATCATCAGCCTCATATTGAAATTACATAATTATTGTCATGGAGATGAAAGAAGGTTATTGTCACCAACTTTTTCATTATAAAAATTATTGATGGAAGGGTTTTAATGTTGAAAACTGAAATAGGGAAACTCAACAAACCCACGGAAAACTACCATTCGATTTGTGGTGGGAACCAACAATAAATATGGCACATATGTATGCGACATTGAAAATAAAAACGTGTCCATCTTGCCTTGGGTTTGTCATACGGTAACGCCTACAAGGTTGTACATCAAGCTCTGCCTTATATTCCTGAGGTTAGAAATTCGAACTCGGCAAGAGGGGATCCTCTCTATATACCTACCTATCTATACTCGTTTGGGTATTCTGTGACTCGTTATTAGTACTTATTCGATGTTCACAGCGGCTTGTTGTGCGTTATCAAGCAATCGATAAAAACTACTTTCTTTGCAAATCATGTATTATCGCAACTTTCCATTATAGCAAGTAACTTTTAAACTCCTCTGTTTACTTTTATTTGGTTAAAATACCTACAAATTATTGGTAAAAGTGTATTTTATAGGATGGTCAATGATGATTCGTGTTAGTTTATTTTCAAATAATTATTTAGGTTCGTTTTTTTCGCCTGTGACCATATGGTAACGCTAGCTGTTTACGGGAGTCAATTAGAAGATTTCGTGATTTCTCTCCAGGAGAGGTTTTACCTTGAAAGAAGCGCTGCATATGGTTAATGAAGATGACTTAGATGTTCAAGATATATTTATATAGAACCTCGATCTGGTGGCAGACGTTTTGACCAAGAAAGATTCAGGCGACGAAGGAGGGGGGTTTAGACGATAATCTTAGAGGTCAATATAAGGCTGATCACATTAAATATCGTGGAGATGACTTTGTGTATCATTTATTAGTATTCATAATACTTGACTCCACTTTTGAGAAACCATGGACTTCTATCAAAGATTATATATATCCTCAATATTTCCGAACAAATAATATGATACATAGTAAATATTTTATATAAATACGAGGTTTATAATTATATTTATTCAGAGTGATTATGAAATATTTACGTAAATATTTTATATTAAAAAGTTCATTGATGTTATATATAACAGTTATGTATATATAACAGATGTGTTTGCTGGGTGGGATGTACTCGTGTTGTTAGGGTTTTGATACGATTCTTAATGTTCTCAGAATATTCAAAGACTATTCTGAGAATATGTCAAATTGAATGTTCATATGGAATATTCTTTGCAGAATGAGAATTAATATTCCATATGATAATTCTGAATACATTCTATAAGAATATTTTAAAATAAGTATAATTATATTATTTGAACGTTGTCAGAATAATATTCATAGAATATTCTGTACGTGCTGTCTCTCTGGGATCGTGTATTTTCATGATGACTTTTGAGGAAATTGGGATGATTTGACTAGAAAAAATACCCAGTCCGCAACGGTTTTATGAAATATTACACGAGTACTTATAAACTGTTCCCCAAGGGGCATAGGGAAAAATTTTAAAAACTTCATCATGTATTTGCATGATAATTTAATAAATCGATTTTCGAGGAAAGTGAAATGATTTGAGTTGAATATAAATGCCTAGGTTTTATGAAAAAATCCACACGAGTAAACTGCTCCCCAGGGGGGATAGGGAAAAATTTTCAAAAATTTAATCGTATTTTCATGAGATAAATCGATTTTCGAGGAAACTGATACGATTTGACTTCAAAAAATACCCGCCCGTATTCGCAAGGTTTTATGAAAACACACGATAGTGTATATAGTGCCCCCCTTGAGATAAATCGACTTTTTGAGAAATTGAGATGATTTTATGTACTTTCAAAAATATCCAGTCCTCAAGATTTTATAACAAAACACACGAGTGAAGAGCTCCCCATGGGGGCAAGGAAAACATTTCAAAAACTGTTCATCTCGTATTCTCATGAGATAAATCGATTTCTGACAAAATTGAGATGATTTGACTCGAAAAAATTGCCAGTCCGTAAGATTTTATGAAAAAACTCACAAGAAAAAGTGCGCCCTATGGGGGGTACAGAGAAATTAATATTCATTTATACAATAGAAATTATTGATTACATAGGATCAAGATATCATAAGGACAATATTGCATCACAGCCACAGCATCGCCAAATGAAATTTGTTTTTTGTTTTTCAATCCTAAGAACTTTTCTTTCTGTATTTTCATAAGATAAATCGATTTTTGAAAAATTGAGATGATTTTACTTGCAAAAATACCTAGTCCCCAAGATATTATGAAAAAACATAGGCATAAAGTGGGAGCAGTGAAAAAATCAAAAACTTTTTATCCTGTAGTTCAATGAGCTGAATCCAGCTATGCAATAAAAACAATGATTTGTTTGCTGAAAAGATTCAGCATTTTATTCCAGTCCAATATTGAAACATCAAAATTGTAAATCATTCATTGGTGATGCTGAAAGTATTTGTGTTGGTACATTGCAGATATTCAGTGTTTAAATTTCTGGTATTTTGTATTCACAAAGAAAAAGAGACTAGTCATTGATTGAAATCAAAACTCCTGTTGAACAAAATATTTTTAATGTTTTCAATAATATATTGGCATTTACCATCTGACCACCATTTTATGTTGTGATTTAGTGGCAACAAATCACTAAAATAGGAGTATACAAGTATTGAAATAAATATTTCTTAAAGCTGACTGTATACAATTCACAAAGCCATTGCTATAACTATCTTCCAAACTGAAATTCAGCAGTACAAAAAATAATTCTTTATTAAATGAATGAGATTTTTAGTAAAATAGTTCTACAATTACTATATACAATATAAAATAAATATATCATCAGCTTTTGAGGCAATCATACAAAATTTTCTTCTTCTCAATGGAAGACTTGTATTGAAGGTATGACTCCAAAATATCATCAAATTGTTTGCAGGAAACTTCTTTATATTTATTCTTCAATCCATCCAAGTTTTCAATATCTTTTTGACATTCATGCTGTTGTTCTTTGATATCTTTTATTAGTTCTTTGTATGCCTTCAAGGAACAGGTAGTTTCTGTGAATATATCAACCCTACACTTCTCCTGGGCAAGAAGTGACTTCAAGCTGTTAATTTTTTCATTTACTTGACATTCTTTGACTTTATCCTCAATAACTCCAGGCAATTTACTTATTCGTAGGTCAGTGATATCTCCAAGTAATTCAGACAAAGTTATGAGGTTCCTTATATACTGCTCTTGCTCCATCAATAGTTTATTCTTATATTCTACAAGAACTTTATCTTCATGACACAGTTTGATAGAAGTTGTGATTTCTTCATCTTCAGAGTATTCAGTCATGTCTTTATTGGCCACACTATGAAAATCATCTGTAATACTTAGATATTTCTCATTTAATTTTTTTTTAATAACATCTTGTAAAGATTTTGATTCTGAATATGTCAATGCAGGGCTACTAACATTACAAAGCCCAAATACTGATGATTTACTACCATCTACTGTATTCTCATCCAATAGAGTTACTTGGGTAACACTTTCACACAGCAAAATTTCTTTCACTTTTGCTCTCAACCCATCTTCTTGACGATCTTCTTCATTAACAAATTCCTCCAATATATCATACACTATTTTATATTGGACATATTTATTCCTTTCCAGTTTCAGAAATTCTGTTAAATCATTAACCTCTTGCTCTTGAGCATAGCTGCTCGTTTTTTTGGGATTTCCATCCACTCTGAATTGTCCATGGTTTGTAGTTGTCCCAATCACATTGGACATAGTTCTTAAATTTCAAATAAATATTTTATTATTGTTATATTCACTTCAAAAATATGCTAGGACAATTAGGATTACAAAAAGCGAAGAGTACCAACAACGTAACGGAGCTCAAACTAAACTGCTCAAAGCCAAACATACATAACAACACATTCAACATTCAACTGACATTACTGACATTAGTGACATTCAACATAAACTATAAACTCATATAATACAGAAGGGACTCTGTAACTCAAAGCGAAAGCATGCGTAATCGACTGCTTTTGCCGTTTCGGTACTCTGTATCAATATTCGGATGAGGTCGGAGACGCCGAACGTGAGTTCGTAAGCGAAGCAGAAGCGAAGGATTTTGGTTGCCGCTTTCTGCGATTCTCAACGATTGAGGTTATAGGTATTGGTTTTTGTTGTTGTTCCTAGTTCGAACTTTGTGTTGATTTGAGAAAAATAATAGATTGATAAATGAGGAATGAACCCAAACATGGATAACAAAGCGAGCAAAAACAGAACTTCAGTCAGTGGGACAGATTCCTCAGTTTTACGAACAAAGTCCTAAAGATATTCCAGAGAGATGGAAGTTCCCTTTGGTAGGATTAAGGTAGGGGATGAAAGAACGTGAGACGTGAGATAAAAAATATGATAGACAGTGTGATGAAAACATACAGTTCATTTGGTAGTTGAAAAATAAACTGAAAACTGTCATTAGTGCTGTTGAATAGGGTCTGGAATAATTCATATTCATTCGAATTATCCTTCTCTTTTAGATTCCTGATACATCAAAACAGGCAGATATAAGTAGCTTCTCCAAAAAATGAAATGTGCCATTACTGAATGTTGTCTCACTGAATCCTTGTTAAGAAAAATATGTCTTTGGTGTGAGTCCATTGAAGAAGACAATAATAGGTAATTGAAGGATCCTACTAATATAATATGCCGATACCTACAACAGTGAAACATAACAGAAAGCCTGGAACGTTCAAATTTGAAAAATTTGCATAATAAGTGCATTGGAAGGAAAAATAATTTGGATAGCAAAAACCTTGGAGACACCCAAGAAGAACTGTGTAATATTACTGTGTACCAATAAGGGAGAATCAAGAGTAAATTCCATGAAACAGGATTAACTGAACATTATTTACTATGTTGAACAAGAACAAGAACAGATTCTACTTTCACTACATTAATAATTCCATCCAAGATTCTAAAGTGAACTGTAAGAAAAAGTGCATCTGTATAAATGCACTGTCAACATATAGCTGCCTTGCAGAAGGCAATTCAAGGAATTATATGTGCTTATCATCTTGTTTAATTTGCGACATAGAGAAGCAAGTTCTGATAGGTATTACATTATAGTATGTAAATAATAATACACTGAGTGTTAGATTATAGAATGATATGTCCATTATAAATATAAGCAGTTACATATCTTACAATATTATTGTTATTCTCAGATCATTTGCCTTTACTAGTTGCATATAAATAGAAAGCTATACCTGAGATATACCTAGTGAGAATATAAATACCAATTTTTTATATGAACAAAATAAGGTACATATTTTTCAATGAGCTGCAAGTGCTTTATTTCTGATTGAAACCAAAAATTGACAATACAATAATTCGTAAATGCCGCTTTTTTGATCCAATGGGATGTTTCCTTTGAATAAATGGGATCCGCAACACTGTTGCCAAATTTAACTCCACCAACTTCGTTCTATTTCGTACGAAATCGTATGACGATAGCGAAAGCATAACGAACTACATATAGAGTACCGGAAAGCGAAGTCGTATACTTCGCTTCGTTTCGCTTTCGCTACGCTTTCGCTATGCGACACAAGTTACAGAGTCCCACTGCAGAACAGCAATGTCTAATGTCACTTGTCAGAAGTCAATGGAGAAGTGTCTACACTTTTGACATAGGTTATATTCCGAATGTAATTCGGAACACGTTTTCATGGTTTTCGTGAAATTTGTCAGTCTATCTCGTTCATCTGAACTAGGGTCCCTTGATGGAAATTGACGTTAAAGTCATCTTAACAGGGTACGGACAGATCCTCGTCTCCTCTCACTCTAAAGTGTTTGTGAAACAGTTATATAGTTCCATCCTTATTCAATTATACTTCATGGTTCCTTCGAGTAGGTCACGAGTGTAGTGTGTTCCATTGCTGTCGAAGAATCATACAGTACATTCAAAGAAACGCGCCTCTGCATCTCGGTGTCCCGTCGTTACTGTCATCTGTCACCTCATTGCGAAATTGTATGTCGACGGAAGAGTACATGCGTTCGATAATTATAACTTTAAAACGGAAAAAATATGCCGAAGAGGAAGTCAAAGGAATATATCAAACTTAAAGAAAAGTTCAGGAAATTGGAATCCAAACTAGAACGACTAGGATCGTCAAGTAAGTTGATCATGAAAACGAATTGTTGTAGGTTATGAAGACCACGCCACAATGACGCCATAGATTACCACATGTAGCCGCTAAAATAATTCATATCATCTAGTCCTCGTTTGCGATGGAACTAATGATATAAGTCAGGTGAAACAATCATCATCCCTGTTTTGCAGTGGAATCGATGTTGTACATGGGTATGTGATAGACCCAATGAATATCCAATGAACACCTGAAACAATCAACATCATCCCTGTTTTGCAGTGGAATTGATGTTGTGTATGGGAGTAGTTAAAACTAAGAGAGCATGACTATCAGCATAGGGAAATACACGCTTTAATCTTAACTGGAACGCGGCCTGTGTTCTAGCGGGGAAGCGGGGTAGCGGGGGCGCGAGCTTATCGAAACCGCAACAAATAACACTTTAATGACAATAACAAGATGGTGACGACATCATCATCATCATGATGAATTTTTAAATAAATAAATTAAAAAAAGCTGTCACCGCTTGGGGGGGGGGGGGGGGAATTGAACCAGGGACCTTTGCATTATGATGCATTTAAATTCATTTATTCATTTATTCGTCTTTCTTCTCTTATCTACATAGACAATATCTAACAGAACAAACACTTAATATGATGAGAATGCATAAAGAACAATCCTCCACGCAGTGTGGAGTTGGCTGGTGTCAACCAGGGAGTGCTTGGTCTGCGATTAGAGTCTTGGCAAATGAATCCCATCTCCTGAAGCCATGCTCCTTACAATGAGTAATCTCCGAGGTGAACCCAGTTGGGTTGGGGGTGAATTCAAACATTGGCATTGCTGGAAATTTTCTTGGTAAGGAGGGAAAATAAAAAGAAAAACCCTCTCTAAATCTCAGTCGCATCGGACTCCGCGTTCTCTGCTAGCATATACCAGGAGAGAAACACTCCGGCCTCAGCTTGACCCATGTCACAGCCGGGCCGTGTTGCTCTCGGGTGATTTCGAATTCTCGTATTAAGAATCTTACAGATCGTTCAGAGGCTCCCCAAAGACATCGGTCGACTCGTAAATTAACCCATGCTTCTTATAGATTCCATGTTCAGCTCTGGTGGAAGTAATACTTCTGGTGAGTTCACTTCCCTGAACATGGAATCTATAAAATTTGTTAGAAATTTCAATAATATAATCTTTTATGTACGGGATGTCATGACACTGTTCATGAAGATCTACCACTCGAGAATATCGATTGCCGTTGGTAATGATACGGAGTACTTTGTTTTGCAGCACCTGTAACCTACGTATCTGGGTAGGTGAGGCACTGCAAAACACTGGACAGGCGTATGTCATGACAGGTCTAATTATCTGTTTATAGATCAAGAGCTTGTTATCCAATGTCAGCACAGAATTTCTGGCCAACAAAGGATACAGGCTCTTGATCGCCGCTTGTGTTTTCTGAATCAGATAATTGAAATTTTTCCTGAATGACAGACGTCTGTCCAATTTGACTCCCAGGTATTTCACCACTGGTGAGTCCGTCACCTCCACGCCCTTAACAGTCAAAGGTCGACGTAAAACATTATTAGTAAACTTTCTACTGAAGTTAATAACTTCAGTCTTTGTATTATTCACGCCGATCTTTGACTCGTCAAAATACGGTATGACTCCCCTGTCCAGATGAATCTGGATCTGTGTCCTGGCGATGTCCGAGTCGAACGAGTGCGCATATAGTGCGGTGTCATCAGCATACAGCGCCGTACTCGTCCTCTCGAACACAGGAAAATCATACGTATAAATTGAGTACAGCAGTGGTGACAGACACGACCCCTGCGGGACACCCGCCTCAAGTGGAAAATCCCCAGAGACAGCGTCATTTACCTTTACGCGGATCTTACGGTTTCTCAAATACGAGTCGACAATCTTAATGGTGAAAATAGGCACCCTAGCCTTTGACATTTTGGACATTAGTCCCTCGTGCCAGACAGTGTCGAAAGCCTTTTCGACATCCATCATGACCATGACTGTATTTTTGTCCTGATTAAAGGCCTCTTTTATCCCGTGAACAATTCGGGCCACTTGGGACGTAGTGCTATGACCCTTGCGGAACCCGAACTGTTCTTCAGGGATCAGGTTCAAGTCTACGACCTGGGCCTCAATCAGTCTGAGAAGAACTTTATCTACTACCTTGGCTACTACGCTGAGCAGTGATATAGGGCGATAGCTTCCTGGTCTTTTTGGATCTTTGCCAGCCTTGTGTATTGGTACAACAAGCCCAGTCTTCAGACACTCTGGATAGTGCTGGTGCTTGATGATGGCATTGATAATATAATGCAATTGTACTATGGCCTTGCGAGACAAGTTTTTTAGGAGAACTACGTCTATCCCATCGAGACCCGGCGCTTTATTAATATTAAAATATCTAATTATATTGTGTATTTCTTTCGGATTGCAGATTGATTTGCTCAGGACTCGACGAGATAAAGGTACCGCAGGCAAGGCCCTGATTCGAGTCGCTACAGCTAGCATGTCCTCTTGAACCGCCCCTTCAGGTTCTTTGTTGATCTTGTTCACGGTTTGGAAGTGCTCTCCAAGCACCACTGCCTTTTCCGGATCTGACACCGCCTCCCCACGATCACACTCCAGGGAGGGCACCGGGGTGAATTTTCGCTTCAACCTCTTGGTCATCTTCCACAGAGTGTTGTCGCGGGGATCTAGAGTCTCCACCTTGGACCTCCAGGTGGCATTCCTGAACTCTCTGATTCTGGTCTCTATAAGTTGAGACATACGATTGAAGTCC